AGTCCTCAGATTGATCCCACAAGGGGGATAGTTGCGGGGTCTTCGACTGCCACTTATGAGATTAAATCGTATATGCCCCCGTCGACACGAGAGCTCACTCTAGGCGAGGATGAAGACCTCACCATTCACATTGATGATATCACCACGTCGGCTGCCATGCCTTCGGCAGCGAGCTGTTTGAACTCGCTGGCCAGCCTGGCGGGCCAAGTCTTCGACCTGATGACAAACAGGTTGGAACTGCCGATCGCCCTTAAGAAGATGCAGTTTACCACCAACTCTAGAGAGGTGGCCGAGCTGGCGCCGACCTCCTTAGGCGCCTACGGCCACACGGTTGCTGGCCACGTGGTCAACCTCGGAGTCGATTTCACGGTCGGCAAGAACCGATCCGCCAAGGATGCCAGGTCTAAGAACAAGTCCCGTTGGAAGAAGGGCCTGCGAAGGCTCCCGCTCATCAAAAGGCTGCGGGGTCCCACGGTCCAAAAAGGAACGATTTTTGTCTGTGGGATCAAGCCCAGCTTGACTTATGGGGAGGAGACTCAGGGACATTCTCCGACGGAACTTCGTGCCCTTCGCCTCCAGATGGCCAAGAGGGGGACCAGGGGCCAACCTTGATTTGTGCTGGTGCTTTGCACCCAGCAAAGATCCGATTTTGCACGCTGGAGCCACGCTCCGCAGGTACTGTGCTGAATGGTGGTCGGCTACGGATGCCCTTCTCTGTGCCAAAGATAACCTCAGGGCGCGAGAGCTCAGGGAAGCGTTCCAACTGACTCAGGACCATTTCGCTCGTCACCCCCACCCTGGGATCTGGCACTTGGTCACTCAGAGCCCCTTGTCGGACATGGTCTTTTGGTGCAATAAGGCTGGTTGGGTCTTCGAGGACCCCGCCCACGTTAGGACCACTGAAGGGATCGTGTGTAATCTTACCCTGGCCCCACCAGCCCAAGTGTTCGCCCTTTTTGGCAAGGATCTTCAGAAGCAAGGTCTCCACAGGACTGTTTGCGAGAAGCTGCAGGACGTCCAGTCCGACCGAGCAGCTCAGATCAGGGAGCGTGGGCTGTGGACTCACCCCATCTCGCGCGCTTGGGGCTCGAAGAAACACTCTCCTTTTGCTAAGCAGATGTTGCGTCAGGTAGTTTCAGGGTGCTATTGCACTGGCACCCTCCTCCACCGCCGTGGCTACCAGGTTTCCACTAAGTGCCAACACTGTGGAGCCCCTGACACTGCCTTTCATCGGGTTTGGGTTTGTCCTTTTGGGGACCCTCTTCGCCACGAGCTGGGCGAGAGCCTGGTCAAAGCCGCCCTGGATGCGGGGCCGTCGGATCCGCTGTTCAGTTGCCTGTGGCTTCCCGTCCCTGTCATTGAAAACCCACCGCCCTCCACGGAGATTGTTGAATATCTCGACAAAGGAGGGAAGATTGACCAGTTTGTTTGGGATACCCCTGGGGTTGAGGTGTCTATCGACGGGTCGGTCGTTCATCCCACCACTCCCCTCCTCAGCAGAGGGGGTTGGTGTATTGCTGAAGTAAATTCTAGTGGTGACCTCCTTAGGGCTGTAAGAGGTGTTCTCCCGTCCTACGTCCCCTGCAGTGCCAACATGTCAGAGCACCATGGGCTCCTCCAAGGGTGTGCCCATTTTCACGTCGAGCGTGAAGATGAGCCCGTGCATGTTTTTCAAGATTGTGCTGCTGTTGTTCATGGTGCAGCCTCTGCATTGCGATCCCGTGATGGTCGTAGGCAGCAGGCTGGACACTGGAGGCAGATAAATCTCAACACGGACATGCAGGGCTGGACCATCCATAAGATCAAAGCCCACCAGTCTCTGCTTCGTGGAGATAGGAGCTTGGATGAGCACAGGAGGATTTTTGGGAACGCCTGGGCTGACACTCTCGCTAAGGAAATTGCCACAAATCAGTTAAACCCCTCTGATATTGTAAGAGTTGAGGACAATTATAAGCTCTGGCTGGATGTTTTTCATGCTTTTGTGACCTTGTTGGAGCCCTGGGGCCGAGCCCGCGATGTTTTTGGGGATTTGGCCAGGGTCCCCAGGGCTCCAAAAAAATCGTCCAGGGTGCCTAGCCGTCACAGTTTCAGGTGGACCTTGAACAGATGGCAGTGCATAGATTGTGGGCGTTCGACCACAAAGCCTTGGGCATGCCGCCGAGGCCCCTGCACGCCTCTGCCGTCGTCTCTTCAGTGTGTGCTCACCCCTTTTGAGCCCATTGTGCCAGCACATGAGTTGTGGGCTGGCCGTATTGAGATGACAGGGGCCGCCGTATTATATTGTAACCGTTGTGGGTCTTACACCACTGGTCGTGCTGCGCATCTCCTTGCCCCGTGTACGACCCACAAGGTGTCGCAGTTGCGCATGCTACGCGACTGCAAGCTTCCATTTCCTAAAGGGGTGCGGTTTTCCAAGCCGTGGAAGGTCAAAGCGGGGCTTACTGCCCTCCACCTGCACTACGGCCCTTAATTCCGCCTTACCCCTGCACCCCCTCGTGTCGCTCCCAGAGCGGGCGAGGTCTGGTGCTTCCACACCCCCCCTGTGGGGTAGCGGTCTCCCGTTCTTTGAATGGATTCCGTTTCTGTAGGCCTTGTATGTATGTATGCAGGAGGAGGAGGAGGAGGAGGAGGAGGAGACATTGAGGAGGAGGAGGAGGAGGAGGAGGAGGAGGAGGAGGAGGAATGGAGGAGGAGGAGGAGGAGGAGGAGGAGCGCGCCGGCCGACGTCGCGCCCTTTGCTCCCGCCTGGACCTTCCACTCGGAGCGACCCATCAGGGCGCCCAGTGCCAAGGGAGCAATCGTCGTGGATCCCTCCTCCCCTCCTCCTCCTCCTCCTCCTCCTCCTCTCCTCCTCCTCCTTCCTCCTCCTCCTCCTCCTCCTCCCTCCTCCTCCTCCTCCTCCTCCTCCTTCTCCTCCTCCTCCTCCTCCTCCTCCTCCTCCTCCTCCTCCTCCTCCTCCTCCTCCTCCTCCTCCTCCTCCTCCTCCCCCTCCCCTCTGAGGAGGATCCAGGGTGACAGACTACCTCACAGGGAAGCGGTCGGGACGCTTGAGGCCGCGGACTGAAGAAAATCTCAGATCGGCGGCTGGCAGGGGGAGCGCACTCTTCGTCTGGTCCTTCCTGGGAGCCTCAGAGGGTCCCCAAGTTCCCTGCGGTTTGGGGGGGCTTGTCGGATTTGGTCGACGTCTTAACGAAATCTGGCCAGCAGGGTGAAGAGGGGCGGTCGAAATCAGGCCGAAATCCGGTACAGGCCACCTTTGTGACAGGCGGCTTACAAGTGTCGGCTGCCTGGGACGGTCGAAATTCGCACGATTCGGCTGCCTGGGACGGTCAAATTTTCCCCAGATTTCATGGCGCCTCTTCTTATTTCATTACGTCCCCGGCCCCCCCGCTGGGCCGCGCACATGCGCGGCCATGATTTTCGCCACCCCCTCCCCCTCTTGGACACCCCCCTCTTGGCCGCTTCCGATTGAGACGAGGGTCGATGCAAACGGGGGTCAGCCAGGGCACCGGATCTTGCAGGATCTTACGAAGACACTTTCTGGCTGACCCGGGTTAGCGAGCCGCTCGTGGCCGCGAGGCGGCCGCGCATATTGGCTGACCCGGGTTTGCGAAGGCTTGCGTTGCAGCTTTTGTTTCCTGCATTGCAGTTTTTTGGTTTCTTGCTGACCCGGGTCTGGATTGACCCGGGTCAGAAGATCCCCGTACGATCAAAATTGGTACGATGCTCATTTTGAACAGGACTCGCTGTCCGCGCCGCCGCAGACGTTGTTCACTGCAGACGAGAAGCCGCCTGCCCAACGGCGGCCGTTGTCGGCTTGGGGCAACTTTTGCTGTTGGGCATTGTATCCATTGTTTCTTTCCCCATGTCCGGGCGTCCAGAGTTGCGAGGATCACTGATGGGGAGTGGCGGCTGCGACGGCGATGGGGACACAGGCCAGGACTCGGCCAGAAACAGGTTGGGGGTGCGGGATCGTCGGTGACCGCTGATGGCGGGATCGCGGCACGGGCAGAGGCCTGCCTTGTGCACCTTCACACTGCAAAGGCAAGAGTGGAGGGAGCTGGGCATGGGCCCTCAAAGGATCGGGAGGGAAAAAACACACAGACACAACTAATCGTCGATTCCCCCGAAGATATGGGGACATGGGAGGTGGGGGGGAACACAGCCCAGAAAAATGGGGAATCCTGTTAGTTGTGTGTATTTATTTGTGTGTCCCAGGGCCCTTTCAAAGGGGCTTCCTTTCCGAACATCATGAGGAGGTGCAGTTGCGCGGGCCTGCGCTAAATGTAAAAAATAAGGTTCATGAGTGCAGCTCCGTGGAGGGAAAGATGTACACTCGAAATCGATAGGATTGGTAACATGTCCAAGGCCCGCGTATCCTGGCATTCTCGGTCCGCCCTTAACACCTTTCGATGGCCAGCCCCGCTCGAAAAGCTTCGACATGGGTGTCCAAGGGGACTGCATCCTTATCGTGCATCCTTACTCTCAGCTTTCACTGTAGGCAAGCACTGGGCAATTCAGTCTGGCATTTTCCATCAGCACGGCGACCAGCCGCGAGTGGGGGGGCAGCACACCAACTGTCGGGGGCCCGCGCAAATTTCTCGAATCGGAGCGCGAGTGGGGCGGCGCCAGAGGCGCCGCCAGGGGGACCCATGGTTCAGGTGTTGCCAGAAGCGCCCTTGGCGCAAGGTGCCCCAAGGATTTTCCAAGGAGGACCCCACGGCCTCCAGAGCACCCCTCACGAGGCCCACAAGGGTCCAGGTGCTTCAAAATAGAGCGAACAGCTGGGGGCACATTGGGCCGGGGGCACCCTTAGCTCCCCCCGAATCGTCTTGGCGAAATTTCTGGTAGTGTCGTGGGAGCAAATGCGATATGACCATAAACTATCTGGGGTCCGCGCGGATTTTTCGGATCAGGTGCGCCGCCCTCCCTCCCGCCGCGCCGAGCGCGAGATCAAGTGGCGATGTGCATGGTGCAGCTGTGCGCGCAACCTCGACTCCATGGTCTACTGCAAGCACTGCGGAGAGTGGCGCACCGAGGCGCCCAGTCAGGGGGCGGACGCTGCATTGGAAGGCTCAGTGCGGCGGCGCCCCTCTGTTCCTCAACGTGCTCCTCCTCCTGACGGTGGCGATGCAGGCCCTACTGTTGACCCCAGCCTCACGGTCTCCGAGCTCGAGGACCTCGTGCGCCTGGCCGAGAAGGCAGGGGACCAGCGCGTGGCAGGACGCTACAAGCAGCAGCTGCAAGTTCAGAAGGCTGGTGATCCCCCGCCACAGCAGCGTATCAGTGCCATCGGTGCCAAGGTCGCCGAGATCGAGACGGTTTTGGAGAAGGAAGTCCAGAAGCTCGAGCAGTACCAGCAGTGGGTGGCCCAGCAGACGGACACGGTCGCAGAGCTCTCGGAGCGTTTATCTCAGGCCGACGCCGAGTACAGGGCTGCAGTTGCCTCTCTGGTCGGTGACCGACCTGATCGAGCTGCCTCTCCAGCACCACCTCGCATCTCCATCAAGGAGGTGGTCGACGGCACTGGCAGCATCATCGACCTCATCGACGTCGACTCTGTTTTCGACGTGGATGGCTACGAGTGCTCGGATGATGACCGCAAGAACATCGCTGACCGTCGTGATCTGCTGCGGTCCCAGCTGCAGGACGTTGCCAAGGGCCTCTTCTCTGGCGCACTCGAGAAGCTGGAGGCCATCAAGGCCGAGCAGGCCGCCCACGTCGCCCGCCTCACGAAGAAGAAGCGCAAGGGTACATCAGGTGAAGGTGCGGCTGCAGGCCCTGTGGCAGGCGCGAAGCAGGACTCGACCACAGCCAGCCAGGACCCCAAGGCGAAGGACAGGGACAAGTCGGTCGGGTTCGCGGACTCTGCACCGCCTTCTGCTCGGTCCGCGGGAACCCCAGCAGCCCCTTCTCCGACGCCAGCGGCTACCAGCATTCGCGAGCGCGCTGCGGCCCAGATCAAGGCTGCTTCAGTGCGTGTCCCCCCTGCTGCCGCTGCTGACAAAGCCAGTGCGTAGCAGGGGGGGACTCAGTGAGCTCAATTTTGTTCAGTGTGGAGGAGTTAATGCGTGGGGTGTGCGTGGGCGCACCCACAGGCACGGTCTCTCGCACAATATCCTGGCTTACGCCAATGCCCGTCTGACCAACTCCTCGTCGCAGGCTCTGGCCGCCCGAGCGAGAGCTAGGGTCAGGAGGGCGAGTTTTGATCCTACGTTTCACCAGCATCTTGTGGCCCCGTCCTGTCGCCCGCGTGGGGGCCCTGGCCAGATGCTCACGCCTAGGCCCCTGGAGTCCTCGGCCCAGGCTACCTGTAGTTTCCGTGAGACGGGGTGGGCTGGAGCCGCCTCCGTCCACAAGTTTTGTACCCCACCCCCACCCCCTGGGAGAGCTCAATTTTCCCTGAAAGTAGAGGCGCTCAATTGCACTGCGTGGTCATCGCTGCAGCGATGGCTCCCGCATTGCACGTCGCACATCATCCTGATCCAGGAGCACCACCTGCGCCTCGGCGATGAAGCTGACCGAGCATCGTCCTGGGCCAAGGTTCACGGGTGGCAAATTCTCCTCACTCCCGCCCTCTCCACCCCGTCGGGGGGGACGTCGGCTGGAGTAGGCATCATGGTCAGAGATTTCCTGGGCCTTCGGCCCCCGCCAGGTGGTCACGTTTTGGTCCCTCATAGGGTCGTAGGTGCCATCGTCAATATCCCAGGCGGCGACGCGCTGTACGTCGTCAGTGCGTACCTCCATCACTCCCAGGGGCTCAGCGACCACAACCTGGGGCTCCTCTCGCATGTGGCCGCCGCATTGGAGGTGTGGGCTGGACCTTATATTCTGGGAGCTGATTTTAATATGGAACCGTCGGTTTTTCAGGAGTCTGAGTTTGCAAAGTCCTGTGGGGGACGTGTGGTGATTCCTGAGGCTGCTTCTGGATCTTGCCTTTCTACTGGAGGGACCCGCCTTCTGGATTTCTTCGTGGCCTCGTTGGGTCTTTCTAAAGGTTTGGCGAAAGTCCAGGTTGAGCTTGGTGCGTGTACATCACCACACTCACCTGTGTCATTGGAATTCTATCCGCAGCTGGCGCAGCTATACGGACTGAGGTTCCGCCGACCCCCACCTATCCCTGTGGATCCTATAGTTGGGCCTCAGCCTCAGCCTCCCAACTGGGACTCTGCGAGGGCCCTTGGGCAGCAGCTATTGGATGTGCTGCAATCTGGGCACACTCAGACTGTCCAGAATTTGTTGGATGTGGTGCACGCGGCTTGGGCCAATCTTTCTGAGCGTGAGTTGGCCGACTCGAGGGGCGTCCAGCTGCCATGTTTAGGAGCACGGTCCAAGGCCCCGCAGATGTACTGGGCTTTGGTTTTGGAGCAGGACAGGAAGCCCCCAGTGCGACAGCCCCTGTGCTATGCAATCAAGTGGCTGAGTTTGAAGTTCAGAATGTACGTTTCGCTACTTGACGCTCCTGGCCCCGATGCGGTCAGGCAGGCCAGGGAGCTACGTCGGGTCGTCCTGAATCCACCCGTCTTTTTGCATGAAGGATTGGCTCATCATCAGCGGTGGTATAATGAAGTTTGTGCTGCAGTGCAGAGTTCTCACGACTCCGACGTCTACGGGGTTCTGTGTGCTCAGCTCGATGTCGCCGTGGCTGCTGCTGAAGCCATCGCCCAACAGGAAGCTTTAAGTGGATGGAAGCAGTGGCTGCTCGACAAGGTTGAAGCAGGTGCGAAGCGTGCGCACTCGGTCGTTCGTGGTTTCACTCCGTGGGCTCCGACTACGGCTTTGCTTTCCAACGGTATCGTCGTGGCTGATCCTCAGGCTCTCCTCGATGCACAAGCAAAGCAGTACGAGCAACTGTGGCACGCTCACTCGCACCCTCGGCCTCAGTCGGACACCTTTCAGCCTCTTCCCTCCCTACCTCGGCTGGCTCCTGACGATCTCAGGGCTTGTAGTCGCAAGTTTCCCAAAACGACGGCTACCTCGGTCGACGGCTTTCACATGCGCCACTTCGCGTCGCTGTCGGATGCCTCGCTCGACCTCCTCTCAGTCATTTACACAGCTATGGAAGTGAGCAGCCTCATCCCGAAGCAGGCCGCGATCACTATAATGTCTCTCATCGGCAAGCAGGCCGGGGGCTTCCGACCCATCGGCCTCTTCTCTTCCATTTATCGGTTGTGGGGCAAGGGGAGAAGAGGATACGGCACTCGATGGGAGGAGAACAATCGTCGCCCCTTTTTTGCAGCTGGCAAGTTCACCTCGTCCACTGACGTGGTCTGGCGGCAGTCTGTGAAGGGAGAGGTTGGCGTTCGTGACGGCAAGGTTTCTGCCATTTTGCTCTGGGACCTGGTCAAGTGTTTTGAATCGATTAACCTCGACCTCTTGCTCCACAGATGTGCCCAGCATGGCATGGACATGACCGTCGCGCGACTGGTGGTCTCCATGTATAGCAACGCTCGCTTCATCACCATGGGCCAGCTTTTGCGTGGCCCATTCTATGTACAGCGCGGCATCGTCGCAGGCTGCCCCTTCGCCACGACGATGGTGAGGATTTTCGTCATAGGCCCCCTCGACTCGGCTGGCATCCCTCCCACCGTTTCGCTCGACGTCTACATCGATGACTATGGTTTGTCGACTGTCGGAACTACTTCGGAAGTTGTATATGATTTGGCAAGGGCGGCCGCTTCTTTGCACGATGCCATCGTGGACGACATAGGTGGCAGTATTTCGCACGACAAGGCCAACCTTGTGGCCTCCCATCGCCATGTTGCAGTGGAACTGCGCAAGCGACTGGGAGCTCTGGCTGGCAAGCGAGTTGTTTCTTCTGCAGCTAACCTTGGGATCGATCACACTTCGGGCAGGCCTAGAAGGGCCCCTACTCGGTCGAAGGTGTTTCGGGTGCGTATGCTCACGCTCAAGCACAAGACCAAACGACTGCAGAAGATACGACAGGCTTTAGGAAGGCACTCCAGGAAGCTGTTTATCACAGGCCCTCTGCCAGGGTACTACTATGGAAGTGAGGTTCATGGGGTCTCTGATGCTGAATGGGGGCGTGTTCGGCGTGCTTTCGGTCGTTGTATCAGGCCCAAGGCTGGGTCCCGCTCGCTCACCTCAGCTGTCATCCTGGAAAAGGACCCCACGTACTACGGGCCCATCGCGCCCATCCTGAGGTACGCCAAGGAGCTCTGGGGGACCCATATGCGCTCTTTTACGTTTACCCTGTCCTGGCCTGAGCTCCGCACTTCATGGGAGTCCATATTCCTGGGACCAGGGCCCGACAACTGGAAGCAGGTCTCGGGGCCCATCAGTGCCATGAAGCTTAGTTTGCAGCGCATTGGGTGGTCGATGCCCAGTTTCACGGTCATGAGGGACCAGTTTGGTGTGGACCTGCCGCTCACCTTGGTCAGCCCCGCTCTTCTGAAGCGCCACCTTAGGCAGGCGGTGCTTCACCTTCATGAGCGACGCGCAGGCGCCAAGTTTCTGCCCTCTCTTCCGCAGCCTGTTCGAGTTTGTCATGATCAGGTGTATGCTATGTTGCAATCCTCCAAGTGGACCCCGCGAGAGAAGGGCTCTATGAAGGCCCTTGCGTGCTCGGCTGTGTGGACAAAGACTCGGGCTCGCAGTGCTGGTTATGATCAGGGCGACGTACTTTGTGTGCTCTGTGGAGGTGCCGACGACACCCTCTTGCACAGATTGTGGCGTTGCCCCGCCTGTGAAGATATACGCAAGGAAGTACTAGGTAAGGATGCTTGGCTTGCCCCTCCCCTGGACCTCTCGGAGCAGAGTGACCCCGAGCAGTACCTACTGTATACCCGTGGTCTTTATGTACACCCTGGAGACTACCTCCCCCGTCCAGCACATGAAATTGATGGTCCTGGTTCTGGGATTCAGGTGTCTTGGGCTGGGGACCCGTACAACTCCAGTACCTCCGTCTGCGGTAGGTTATATGTAGATGGCTCTTGCTTTAGGAATGTGTCTCCTGAGCTCTCCAGGGCGGGGTGGTCTGTGGTTAGCGTCTCAGAAGCCGGAGAAGTGCAGTGTGTTATTTCTGGGCCGCTCCTGGCCCACTTTCCCCAAACTTCTCAAGCTTCTGAGTATGCCGCATATTGCATCGCCGCCCAGTGTGGGGTGGAGGGCAGTCACATCTACAGTGACTGTCAGAATGTGGTTTCCGCCGCTCTCGACCCTATCCCTGCGCGGCTCTCTTTTCGCCGACCGCATGCGGGTTTTATGCTTCAGGCGTTGGGCCCTATCGCCAGTGCTGTCAGTAAGGTCAAGGGGCATGTCCTCGACAGCCCCGACCTCTCAGATGAGGCGAAGGCCCACAAGCTAGGCAATGACACTGCTGACCAGGCCGCTCGCCTCGCCGCCCTGAGGCATCCGGCCCCCGCCCCTGTGGACGCTGAGCGGGCCGCGCGCTCGGCGCGTATTGCGAGGGCGGTCTGCAGGCTCGCTGCGCGGGTCATGTCTCTCTGGCCGAGGCTTGATCTTTCGGAGGCCTCCAGGACCAAGCCCCCCTCCTCCTTGGGGCCTCTCCTCCCTTCTCACTCCTGGTCCTGGGAAGGCAGGTTTTGGATTTGTAGTTCGTGCTTTCGGTGTGCCCGTGGCCCCCAGAAGCCTCACCCTGGAAGGTGCCGAGGAGCGGTCACCATCAAAGGCATCACAGGCCAAGGGCTGCTGGACCATGGGCACAGACCCATCTGTTTTGATGTGAATCAGGGAGGGGGCTTGCTTGTCGCCTGCACCCGCTGTTGCTACTATACGTGCGGTGGGCAGGTCAGGAATCTCGGCAAGCCGTGCTGTGGGCCCCCTGACCCCAAGCGTAAGTCCGATCATGGCAGGAGGCATGCCTGGGGCCAGGTTTTAAAAGGGAAGCACCCCAAGTCGGGCGCCAGCCTATCGACGGGGCTGGATGATCCAGCGACCTCGTCGGATGGGCCGCCCGTCGACCCGTCCCTTCCCCTCGATCCTC